ATTTTGTTTTGATGATTTAATCACGGTTTTTAACAGATGCGCTGAAAAAATTGGTTTTTAATTACATTGAAAATAAATTACTTTGGTACGTTTATTTTTACTAATGTTTTTATATTAGCAAAACGCTTTTAAATTAAAGTATCATTGAAAGTTGTATAATTTTATTATTTATATTATTTAATTATATAAGATTTTTGAGTAATAATTAAAAAAGTAAAAATTTAAAAAAAATTAAATTTTATAAATGACAACTTTAAACAGCAAAAGTCCCTTTAACAAACTTTATATAGGAATCATTAAAGTTTTTGTTGAGGAAAAAAAAATACAAACTTTTTTGAAAGCTGTTTGAATTAAATATCATTGATCTTTACTTACGTTTTTATAACGCATTTAAATAAAGTAGCACATTTAAATTAAGTTACAAATCACTTCTAATGATTTTTTATAAAAACATAAATGAATAATAAATATTTTTTTATATTTATATTAGTATTAATTTTTTATTATAAATGTTTTTAAATTAAAAAAAATTATATCAGTTTTTTAAATAAACAATTTAATTATTTTTTCTTTTGTGCGAAGAATTGTTAAGAATATCTTTTTAAACTTTTAAATGTGCGCATTTATTAAACAATCATCAGTTTTTATTTTATATAAAAAGGGTTTTGCATAATATTATATTATAAAAATATTAGTAAAGATAAATGATTCAAAGTTATTTATTCTAAACGTAATTTAGATAATCTTATGGTTATAGTTTATTAATTATTTCAGTTGAGTTTTAATTTTATTTTTGCTATTTTCGTTGTAGTTAAGTTATTTTAATTTTGTTTTCGTAATTTTTTTTTACAAAGATTTATTTCCTTTATTAACGATAAGCTTTTTTTTAAGTTTTTTTATAATCAAGATTTGATTTAATTTTGTTAACGCGTTTCTAAAACATATACAAATTTTCAAAACATTTTACCAGCTGTGGTCAAGTTAAGTAAAATCAAATAGTATTTGCGTGGTCATATTATGGCATGAAATCACACGTCTTCCTAGCCAAGCCTGCATATGTATTTATACAGGTAGTATATATACATATACAGTTATATGCCAAGTAGCCTGTATATATACAAATACTTACTCATATGCCAATAAGTATGTTAATGAGCTTTAGGTCTGATTTAGAGTTAGAGCTATTTTAGTTAAAGATGATTTAGTTATATTAATTTAATATCCATTCCAAGATTATAATTATTCTCATTCACATTATGTGCCAATGCAGAGAAGCTTTATAGGATCTAATACAAAATGATATTTGAAAGCATATTTCTTGATATGAAAGCATATTTCTTGAACAAGTCTGGTGAGATCTTCTATGTATTCAACATCTTTTAACACTGAGTTTTCAAGTTTATCTTCCTTTCCATTGAAAAATGCAAATTTTATGTATCTGTAAAACAATATTATTACAAAACAAAATAATATTACACTTTTTATTAATAAAATAAATGATTATAAAATAAAAATGTTATAAAATGTAGTTATAAAATTATTATAGTTATACAAATTTTAACATTTCTTAACAAATCATTAACCGCTTTAAGAGCTTTATTAGTGAAACTATTAAAGGTGTTATTATAAATTAAGTAAACCATATTTTAAAGACAAAGACAATGGAATGTCATATAGGTTTCTATGATATTTATTCTAAGAAAAAGCTATATTAATAAAAGTGATATAATTTTATAAACACTATTTTCTGGATTTTGTAAAATATCAATTTTGGACTAAAAAGGAATGCTTCAGATTTTATTTTCAACACATCCCAGCACATACCTATACATATTTTATTTTCAACACATCCCAGCACATACCTATACATATTTTATTTTCAACACATCCCAGCATGCATACCTATACATATTAATAGAATCTGAAGAAAAATCTTGTGTCTTTTGAAATTCAACCTAAAACCTTCAGAATTAAGCAATGATAACTCATATTAAATCTCATCTTGTACTACAAAAGTGTAATTCTCTGCAAAATCTGCCAGTACAGTAGCCTCATCAATAATTGTTTCCTTGAGATGCTTCAGATAACTAGATTGTGATTTTGGTATAAATGAATAAGAAGGAATTTTATCAAGTTTTTTACACAGGAGCTTTATGAATTCATTTAATGGAAATTTATTATTATTAGTTCATTTCTATCTGTCGTTGTCCACTGTTTTAAATCCACTGACTGTTCATTTTCATCACTGTCATATTGCTTTTTTGGATCATCATTTTGTATGAGATACTGCTGGAAATAATTTCGGGCAATTTGTATGCCAGGACAACTATTGCATCAGTGATTTATGCACTCTTTCGATTTTCTGCTGCAAACAATCTTTACAATAATTTCATGGTAAGATATTTTAAGGCCTACAGCACTAAACATTAATTTAACATTTTGGTGTACTGTACACACACAAACAGAATGTGTACCTTTTGGACAGCAAGAATGCACCATTTAGGCTAAAGACTGCAAAATTTAGAAAATCCAATTTTATGGTCTGAAAACTTTATCCTAAATGCCACATAGAGCTCCTTTAAGTTACACAAAATCAGTTTTTTGACATAGTATTTTAGTATTTTTTTTCCCAACACTTACACAGTCTTTTTTTCCTGCCGTTTGCCTTTAATACTCATCGTCACAGTAAAAAAGCCTTACAAGTTCTCTAACATCTTTGCTGATTCGATACTGTTCAACCACATCAGGGTATGCTATGATGCCTTTTTGGTTGCATAAAAACTTTGCATTTTTAATTTTGTGATTGGAAACTGAAAACTCTTTTGCTGCTTTTCTGATGGACCAAGATTTTGGGGTCAATGTAAAAATTTAAAGTTGCTACCTTCTGTTAGAAACTTTAAAGGGATCCCAAACCTCCGGCACATATTGTGTTTATATTAAAGAGAATGATAATAAAATGTTCAGGATGAATTTTTTTGATTAAAATGAAAGAACAAAAAAGAATTTTTTGTTTGCACAAGAAATCAATTAGTAAACAAACAAAAGTCAATGACGCCATGTACTAAAACTCTTTGGAATAAAATCTACTTAAATAAGTTATCAAGACTCTAGATTGCACCGTATATTACGCTGACTTTTAGGCCTACAACAAAATGGAGAAGACGAGCTTCGACTAGAATTAAAAAGTTAGTTTTTTTTGGTATTTATTTACTCTTTTGTTTTAATCAAAAAAAGTTCAGCCCAAACATTTTTTTTATCATTCTCTTTAATATGAACACAACATGTCTCAGAAGTTTGGGATCCCTGTAAGTTTTTCTTTCATGCATTTAACAAGGAAGTCTATATCACCAACTTTTGTTTGAATTTCCTTTAAAACTTTATTTTTGATTGGTGCAACTAAATCAGTTTCAGTGACATCCAGAGCAGTTGCAAGTTTCTTAATAACTGCTTTTTCAACTCGCTTTATCTTTCTCTTTCCGAGTAATGAATTGTTAGAGGTTTTGGGTAAATGAACATTTTGAGGAGGCACTTCAAGTTTACAGAAAGTGCTGTTGAGCTATGATTTTGCTGATTTCAGTAATATATTTTTTTCATATTATCTTCAGGTAATTTTATCTCCAACTCATTTCTTCTGATTCTTCACTTGATGCTAATTTATGTCTGCATTATGGACAAAGCCTTTTACCTGGTACTACAAATTTGCTTTAACTTCACAGGTACTTTGCTGTATCCAAGTTGATTTCACAAAGACTGCCTTAAAAAAAGGAAGAACTTCTTTAATATGTAGAAAAATGTTAATAAAACCATTTAAAGTTCCAAATGGTATTAATATTAACATTATAAGTATTAATATTATATGTATGTTGTATTGTATTAATATTAAATTTAATAGTGCACTTTCAGAAGTCAGCTAAAAGTAAAGTTAAATATAGCTAAAATATAATTTAGCCGAGAATTTTATTACTGTAACTCACAACACTTTCACAAAAAGTTGTAATTACTATTTATAGCTTTTATAGCTTTCTTTTAAGTACTAAATGGATTGCAACACTGTGTTAATTTAGTTGCATAACGCTTCAACATGTTTATGATGGAGACAAGTTGTTGATTTGATATTGATTATTGATAGTTCAGTCCTCCACATTAATATTTCTTTTTCATATTCAGGGATATCTTCAAAAAATTTAGCATATCATGTTGGGTATCAAAAAAAGTGAAATTTTATAAAACATCTAAAAACAATAATCATTTTATATAAAGATTTCTAGTTTAAATTTTATGGCTTAAAAACTATTGTTTTTTAACAAAAAATAAAAAACTATTCTAGAAAAATAATTTAGGCTGTGGTACCCCCCATACCACCGCCTGCTGTATGGATATTTAGCAGAAATATTACTGTATATAGGCATTTTTTGCAAAAAAAACCAACAATATTTACAATTAAAAAAATGTTAGTAGTTTTTTTCTGCTCATATATGTTTCTTACATATATGGTTAACACTGTCAATAGTATTTACAGTAGCATCCAGAAATTTATATAGCTACTATAGAGTACATAGATAACAAATTGTTTTTAGTTTTTCCTACCTTTATAGCATATAGAGTTTTCAGAAAAAGAATTGAAAAAAGAAAATAATGAAAGTTGCTCCCATGCCAAACCCTTAGTTTCTGTAAGAACACTTCTTTGCAGCAGGCTATAAGGTAGTTGATGTATATACTAAAGCAGGCTGTTTCAGTGTGACGTTAGAGGTGTTATCTAAACATGCATTCATAGTTATATATATATATATATATATATATATATATATATATATATATATATATATATATATATATATATATATATATTATTATTATTATTATTATTATTATTATTATTATTATTATTACTATTATTATTATTTAGTTAATATAAAAAAAATTTAAGATGTGCATTAATATTAAAAAATATTGTGTGATTTAAAAATCACATTTTATATATATAAATTTCTTTACTTAAGGTGAACAGGCCAAGAAGTTCTTTATGAGATCAAACTTACCCACTCCAGTTCTTGGACAAATTTGGTAAATAAGTTAACATATTTTAAAAATAGTTTGTATAATATTTCGTTATATACACACAAACACACACACACACACACAGACATACACACACACACACACACACACACACACACACACACACACACACACACACACACACACACACACACATACACACACACACACATATATACAAACACACACACACAAACAAACAAACAAACACAAACACACGTTATATACACACATACACACAAACACAAACAAACAAACACAAACACACAAGTTTCAGGGTCTTACCTGAAACTTGTGTGTTTGTGTATATACCTTCTTTTTTTTATACATTAATTCTAGCATTATTTTTTTTTTAATTTAAAAATGCTCCATTTTACAATTTTTTTTTGTTGCTAAAATTTCCAAACTTTGAGAAAGAAAATTATTTTTATAAATTTAATTCAAGTAACTTTAAAATGTTTGCATTACTTTCAACTATTTTGTTTATTTATATTTATAGTTTCAATTCAATTTTTTTTCATCCTTTTTCGAAAGTACTAATATACAAAAGTGTTTAATGCACTTATAACTGTATTTAAATGCATTGCCAGATAAACCATAATCAAGCCTGTAAGCAAAATTATTAGATTTGTTAAAAATATTTTCAGGGTTGCAAAAAAAACGTTTTTTTTGAAAAAAACCAAAAACCATAGGTTTTTTTTAAAAAAACCATGGTTTTTTTGGTTTAAATAAGGTTTTTACTAAAAAAAGCGGTATTTAGTTATGCTTTTAAATTAAAAAAAGCATTTATTTGAGTAAACCATATTCTTTATCAATATTATTGTTATATTTCATCAAAGTTATTCAATATATCATTGTTTAATGTTCTATATATAAATACAAGCTTTGCTGCTTTTTCTACCCCTAATTGGTTTCTTAACTTATAATAAACAAGACCAAAAGTTGAAAAAATTCTTTTAATTCCAGCACTAGAAGCTGGTACATTTAATAAACCTTCAATATCCATTATGTTATAATAGATTTGGCTTTTAATTTGAATAATATTGGTAACAAATTCTTGAACTCTTTATCTGCGAAATTTGTGGCAGCGTCATTTTCTAATCAGATCTAATCAAAAAGATTAGATCCAAAATATCAAGAATCTAGTGTGTTTACCAGGAAACAACCATCACTGACAGTCTGAAGGTATCTAGATTCAATTTTTTTTTTTTTTCGTTAGATAAAAATGATAAACTGTTCATCAAATCTTTAAAAGTTTCAAGAGTCACTTATTTTTGTTTGATCTCTTTGCAACTTATTTAGAGCTACTGCAATTGGTTTCAATATTTTCAATAAATCTTCTGTGTTTCGCTTTATCTGTATATCACTTACATTTTTACTAATCATGGGATCCAAGTCTTTATATTTTTCAAACATTGTGAAAATAATGCTCTAGTTGTTGATATTTTTCAAATGAATCACATACAGAATTCCAGCAAGTTTCAGTAGGAAGTGGCAATTTTGTTCCTCCGCTTAATTTATAAATTGCTCCAGCTTGATGATTATTTCTTATATATTTTATTATTTGTGTAACATGCTTGTTCACATTTTCAATGTTCAGATCATTTGCTAAAAGATTCAGCATATGAGCAGCACACCCATAAGTTATGATAATATCTCTTTCAGATGACAATACTTGTCTCATTAGTTTCATATTAGCTGCATTGTCTGTCACAAAGCTTTTTACTGTGCATCCAAATTTACGTCTTACAAAATCTATTGCTTCTCTTGCTAACTGTGATATTCACCAGATATTCACCAGTACTTGAATGACCAGAAGTTTTGATTCTTTCTACTAAAATGTTAATTTTATCTGTAATTACTGAGATACAAACTATAGGTTCATTATGTACATTACTCCAGCCATCAAAAGACATGGCTGCAATTTTCCCATTCAATACATTACATTTTTCAATTTCTTCTGTGTAAACCTAATATTTCTCCTCCAATTTGAGTTCTATTAGGTAGAGCGCATCCTGGATGAAGCATATTAATAAATTTAAAAAAAAAAAAAAGTCAGGGATTTTAAAATATTTATCTATATTGAAGATAAGTTATATTTGTGAACATAACCCTGTCTTAGTTTCCTGATGTAAGTTCAAATCTTTTAAAAAAAACATGAGTTTGTTTAAACCAATGGTTTAAACCATGGTTTAAACCATTTGGTTAAAACCATGCAACCCTGAATATTTTAGAGTATTTTTTTGTAAACATTATTTATCAACTTTATGAAAAGATTTTTTTAGTCTTGAAATTGCTTTTTAACAAAAATTTTATCATTAGTTTTTTAAATTGATCATAAAATAAATGTTGATTATAAATGATTAACTATTTTATAAGTAGTATGTAAAGATTTTGTTTGTATGGGAACATTTTTAAAGGATTTTGTTGTATGTGAACATTTTTAAAAAAGACATTTTTAAAGATGATAAAGATTTTTAAGTATGTGAACATTTTTAATTTGTATGTAAACATTTTGTTGTATGTGATTGTGAACATGTGTTGTATGTTTGTAAACATTTTGTTGTATGTGAACATTTTTAATTTGTAAACATTTTGCTTGTATGTGAATATTTTTAAAGATTTTGTTTTATGTGAATATTTTTAAAGCAAAAATGTTATAAAAAAATATTGATAGTTTTTATTTCTTTTTTGACCGTTAAAAAATTTAACCATAAACAATTGCCCCCTCATTTAAAAAAAAGCAGCTAAATTGTAAAAAAGCAAACATAAGACGAATGTTTTAAGAAATAAATAGTATAAGTTGAAATAAGTTTTTTAAAATATTTATGTTTTATTAATAATTTTTTTAATAACAGTTTTGTTTAATTTAAAGATATTATATAAAGATTTTATAAAAAAAATAAAACACATTTAAAAAAAAAAAAAAAAACTCATTAAAAATTTTATGTGGGTTTTTATTTTATTTCAATGTGGTACTTTAGAATATGCATCCAAAGTAATTTAATGATGTAAATATGTTTACTTACGTTATGCTTTTCCGTTATGCTTTTACGCAACAAAATCTCATAACATGGCCTGTAACCTACTCTTTTGATAATCTTTATCTGAAAAAAATGTATAGAGTTTTAATAAGCTTGATTTCTTACATTTTTTTAAATTGAGGCATTAACAATAATAATGAAATTGCTCATTAAGTTGTACTTTTACTATCTTTCATACATCATATGTTCAAAATGAAATAAAACACACAAAGTATCTTATGCTGCTTAATATGCACATACTTTCCCACAACCTTAAAAGCAAGCATTACTAGTAAGGATAAAACGTGTCAGAAAAGCCACCAAAACTGTTTGTGTATTTTTAAAAAGTATTAAAATCTTGCAAATTTAATTTTTTTTTTTTTTAACAAACTTGTTAAATTCTCAGGTTTCTTTCAATAAGTAACAAATAACATAACTAACTACATAGGCCATTAAGGCCACTGCAATCAACAGGCAACTTATTATTATTTTTTTTTATTTGAGTTCACTTTCAACAAGGCTGCAAGTAACCATTATTAGGTTGGGAATTACTAGGAAAAAAGAATACAGTTATAGAGTAAGGAGATAATTGTCAGAAGACTTAAATAGTTGTAGGTTATATGAGTCATGTATTTAATCTAGCACTTATTAAATAGTTTAGAAATAAATTAAAATAGTTCTTCTTTTAAATAATATAAAAAATATTATTACAATAAAATATAGCATCTACACAAGAAGGTGAAAATCATAGAGTAGAATGAGGTTCGACTTAAAACCGACGAAAAGGAATTAAAGCTTTCATTCCTCCCTGGATCCAGGAGTGAAAAGAGAAATTGAACACAAGCTTGGGTCAAAGACAAGACACAAATCAAGGAGTTAAGGTAAGTAATAAGTGTTGTCTAGATGTTGAATTACAAAGTTAACTTTCTGAGGATAAGATGAAGAAATGCAAAAGTTATGGGTTTTCTTGCAAGCAGGGTCATTGATGTTAGAGATAAGCCATTCTGTGTGATGAGCATTAAGTTCACCAATAACAACTATTGGAGCAGTTAAGAAAAAGGGCTTGATCAATTTTGAAATGGTTAGAAATTAATCTAACCAAAAATGGTTAGAAATTACATCTAAAATAGTACAGTTTTGAGACGTAGGAGAACAATAAAGAACAAAGAGAAAAGTGATAGAGTGAAGAGGTGCAAAGTTGAAGCACACATATATATATGTGTGTGTGTGTATGTGTGTGTGTGTGTGTGTGTGTGTGTGTGTGTGTGTGTGTGAGAGAGAGAGAGAGAGAGAGAGAGAGTGGCGGTCGTAACATTTGACACTTTTTAAGCTTTTAAAAATGAACCAAAAATGTAAATGAGTTGAAACTTTCCAGAAATGTGAGATAATATATAATTTAGAATGCAAAAGTGACAGCAATTAAGTGCTGTAACTTTTCTCAAAACTCTATGTAGCATGATGATCGTAACGCTTACTTTTTATCATTTCTGAACAAAACAACTTTGTATAGCTTAATGCAGCGAACAGCATGGTAAAAATGAAAATCATTTGGTGTGTGTATTCATTTCATATTGATATTATTATATGCTGAGTTTCCTAGTTTTTACTGGATGTTTTACAAGCATTTTTATGTTTTTTGTTGTTGTTGTTGTTGTGATGGTCGTAACGAAAAATCCAATGCTCAAAAGCAAGAAATAAAAAGATGCGATCAATGATGTAAGAAAAAAAGTATAAATGATTATTAACAACCATCTATAATATGTTTAAAAAATGCAATATAAAATTATCAGAGTTCTTAATTATGGATATGCAAACAATTTTTAATGCTACTCAACAGGACTGTAAAGAAGCGGACTCTTACAAAAGGACTCTTTCAAAATCAATTAAAGTAAAGTATGCTTCTTTGAAGGATATTAGAAAAGGATCCTCAAAGATGGTCTTAGGTTGCTATGAAAATTGTCATTTGGACAGAGAAATATTAAAAAAGTTGGACAGAGAAATATTTAAAACGTTGAATCATTAAAAAGAAAAGTTTGCACCTTTAGATCTCATTTTTAAATGTAAGGAATAGAAACATAGTAGTATCAGCATCAATTCTTAAAACAAAGACCAGATAAGTTGCTGAAAAGAATAATATTAATGAATTTCAATCAAATAACTCAGTTTGATTGTTGGAAAAACACAATAATATGATTTTTATAAATACTTCTTTCTTTTTTTTTGGTTGTCTTATTATCCAATGACTGTTCTTAAGTCTTGAAATTTAACAAAAAGTTAAATATTTAAAAATAATTATCATTGTTTTATTTGTTTTAAACGTTTGTTAAATTTAATAAAAATCCTGCTTGAGCAATGATTGTGAAAATGTAAAGAAATGCATCATTGGTTTCTGAAATTCTATAATGTTTGTTAATGAGGTTTAAACCTATGATCAACATGATTATTATATGATGATAATAATCATCATCATTATTGTCATCATCATCATCATCATCTCTTTTGGCATTTAATACCATATAAATACTAAAGTTTATATAAATATGGATGGAATATGTATGCCAGCATATAAATAAATAGCAAACATATATGTTTATGTCCATAATATGCATAAAGCGCATCTTAGAAGCTTCCTTCTAGACTAAAAGTTTGGAAATTCTTTCTCTCAATTCTAACAAAACAGAGCTGATCATCTTTAAATCCAATCTGGCACCAATTAATAAGCACTTAAAATATTCTTCCAAATATAATTCGAGATGAAAAAAACACAACTATTTATAAGAAAAAACTAAAATCACATTTAATGGTGAATAGCGAACTATTCCACCAGAAAACTCTAGAATATTAAAGATTAAAAAGTAATATAATAATTTATTGCACAGTTGAGCAAGTGTTTTGCCAGCTTACCCTTTATTTAGGCAAAACACAGTAGCTGTGGGTAAACTCATGTATTTATTTATTTATTATTGTTAAACTCATGTATTTATTTATTTATTTATTATTGTTATTATTATTATTATTAGTAGTAGTAGTAGTAGTAGTAGTAGTAGTAGTAGTAGTAGTAGTAGTAGTAGTAGTAGTAGTAGTAGTAGTAGTAGTAGTAGTAGTAGTAGTAGTAGTAGTAGTAGTAGTAGTAGTGATATCAGTTATTATTACTATTTTCATCATTGACTATAACGTTATGTTGTATATTCAGGTATTTGCTTTGTATTAGTACTTGTAAATTCTATTGTAAATTCCTTGAAATGTTATAACTTATTTCAAAATATATTTGATTTGATTTATTCCGACTCTTCAATTTTAAGTCAAACCTCATTCTACTCCATATTTTTCACCAACTTGAGCAGTTCCTTTATTAATCATTTATTTCATCTCTTTTACAAGGACTCTCTTAAGAACAAATGTTCTTTTATTATTCCAAGAAGCCTAAGTAAAAAGGTCCCGACTGATGTTAAGCTCTGTTATTCTCTGTTTACTAAATCTTGTATCTTATATCAGATGTTAGGTTCTAGAGATTTTTGGTTAGTCTTCAACAATGTCATTAACTAAAGTAAGTCTAATATTTAATCTTATTAGTTATATAATATTTAATAATATATTTTTTTTTTAAAAAGTGCCTAATAAGTGGTTCCAATTTTTCAAAACTCTAAAAAACACTTTGACCACTCCAACTACGATTAGTCTACACTCTTTTATTAGTTTCATTATATAAAAGTTTAGAAATTATTAAAATATTTATTACTAACTGCAGTAATGGAGTTATTCTACAATTAGACCTACAATTAGTCTCTGCTTTGTTATTAGTTTCATTATATAAAGGTTTTGAGGTAAATAAATTATTTCTTACTAACTGCAGTGATAGAGTTATTCTTGAAGGCCTACACTCTTCTTTATTTTAAGTAACTTTAAGGGTGCCACAAGATACCTTGAAGTACCCTTAAATTTTTGCTCCTGTATTGTTTCTTATCTATAATATCAATTTTTATGAAAATTTAACATCTAAAGTAGCTCTATTTGTTGATGTCTCGACTTTATACTCTTGTCTTGACAAAAAGTCTTCACTTTTTGAATGTTTAGAACAAGCATCTAATTTTTTATCTGATCTCTCTTCTGTAGCAGCCTAAGACTTGCTGTGGCTTATGGTTTTAAATTTTGGACTTAAAATCTGCAGTTTTTGTTAGATATTAAAACTCATTTATTTACTGCATAAATGTTGCAATAATGTTGGTAATCCTATATTGATGAATGGCAACCCTCTTACATAGTTATATAGTTGAGAGAGGGTTATAACTACAATTAAGTTGTCTAGTCTATATTGACATTTTCAGCCTTGGAGAGGTGAATTAACATATAAAAAGCATAATAATAAATTAGACCTGCTTTTTCTGCCAAGCTTGAGCTACTCTCCCATTGTTGTAAGGTTGCATTTCTTTTTTCTACAAATACAATCGTGGTCAATCCTCAAACAAGCTATCATCTCTATTACGATAAACCAAAACTCATTTTTGCTTGTTTTTTATTCAACAAGTTGCATCCTTTTACTGTATTGATCCCCGTCATGCTATAAAAACTCTTATTAATTCAGTCTTTTTTCCTTGCACATAAAAAAACCTTGTAACTATTAGCCATCTTCATGTTTTTCTTCTATATACAACCTACAACTTTTCAAGTCTTCAGTTAACCATTTCCTAGTATTTTTACTTATTCTCTATTTTAAAGTAACTCATAACTTAATAGTGGTTGCTTGCAATCTTGTTGGAAGTAAAATTTTGAAAAATTTTGAGTTTGAAAATATATAAATATATGCCAGTATTTAATAAATAGTAAATGTAAGCATGAAATTATAATATATAAAGTATTATAAAAATTTTTTTAGCCCTGGTTATCAACCCCTACTAAATCCTATAGCCGGGGTCGGGTTTAAAAAAAGTCTCATTTTTAGCCAGGGCTAAGGCCTTGGTCACTTACTACCTTGACCCTAACATTATTGTTATTATAGAAAGAAATTTTTATATTAAAGTTTTTTTTTATGCATTTTTTAAATTAATTTTATATTTTGCTTTTGTTTAAGGTCCTTATCCGACTTAGACCATGATGGCCGTATGACACTTCAAGAATTTATAATAGCTATGCATATAATTGAAAATAAGTTAAAAGGTATTGAAGTACCTAAAGTTCTTCCACTATCAATAATTAATAGTTCAAGTAATTTATCTCCACAGACTCCTACTAGTTTCATTCAGCCTAATGTAGGGTCACAGGCCCCACTGACTAACATCGGATTATTGCAACCAACCTTTGGTGGACCTGGTATTATTCAACCACTTATTCCAACACAAAATGTCTTAGCACCTACAAGTTTAATAAAACCGGTCAATCCACCTCTGCAACCTAATCCAACTTCATATTTTACAAATGATGTTTTTTCATCTCTTCAACAATCTCACAATGTTTTTCCGCAACAGTTACCAAACAGCGGGTTTGTGGCTCAACCACCAAGTAGTATATTTTCAAGAAATTACCAGCCTGCAGTGCCTAACCTAACCAACTTAACATCTCAATCTTACATGCCGCAACAAACATATGGTTCAAATAATTCATCTCAATCTTACATGCCCCAGACTACATATGGTCCAAAAGATAACTTTACTCAGAAAGATGCTTTTTCTATACTTGGTGATGGATTATCTGATTTTCATTTAAAAGAAACTTTAACAAGGAATCAATCGATGACAAAAAGTGAAAATTTAGAAACAATATCTGCTTCTAACCGTTTGAAATATGCTCAAATATTCAAGGCAGCAGATCACTTACAAACAGGATTTTTAGCAGGTTTTTTAATTTTAATTAGTAATGGTTGAACTATATTTAAAAACTTTTTCGTTGCACTTTGAATCACTTTTTTTTTTCTCAATTTAAAATGATATTTTTTGTATTTTTTCTTCTAACTTAAAATTTTATTACATAAATTGTTTAAAAATTTATGTAATAAAATTGTAATGAAATTTTAATAATTATTTTAAAACTTTACCTAATAATCAAAGTCTTTTGTTTCAAAGAGTTTTAAAACTCAGTTTTAAAAACAAAAATTTTGAAATTATTAGGTTTTTATTTTTTTTCAGTTTAAAATGCTAATCTATAATTTTTTTTAACATTTTTGTTGCATTTTGACTTACGTGAATGGGCATTTGAATTATTAGTCGCATTGAAGCTTTTTCTTTTCATTAGTAAAATAAATTTTAATTCAAACAAAATTAACTTAATAAAAAATATTATTTATGATGCACATAGGCATTTTTTAAAATCTTTTAACATTTAATTTTAACATTTTGTAACACGTTTTAACATTTTATCCTCGATTTCACTTTTTTTTTATTGATAATTTATTTTTAATTAGCTAGTTCTTATTTTATTTCTAAATTCTTGTTTTAGTAGTCATTAAAATCTTTATTCAGTTTTTTCCCTGCTAAAAAAAAAAGCAAAAAAAAAAAAAATTAAACATACCAGGCTACTGATTATCATAACGGATGACTCAAGTAAGACATACAAAATTCAGCAGTCCGCAAGGTGGTTGTAAAAAAAATGGAGGTTTCACCTTTGAAAGCATCTTTTTTTTTTTTTTAAGTTACCTTTAAAATGTTTTATAATTGGTTTTTAGGAGAACAAGCTAGGCAGCTCCTTATACAGTCTGGTGTAGAACCAAGTATACTTATGAAAATTTGGTAATTTCCTTTGCATGTTTTTAACCAAAAAATATTTTTACATATTTTTAATGGAAAAATTAAGGATTTTTTGTACTTTAAAGAAATATAAACTTATTTACAATCAGGGAATTGTCAGATATAAATACAGATGGTTGCCTTGATCTTGAAGAATTCATTATTGCAATGCACTTGATTAATTTAACTAAACTAAATATTCCATTACCAAATACACTACCTCCATCTTTGGTTCCACCTTCAATACAAAATAGGAAACTTAGTGTCAGTGAACCACCACAACCGCAGAGTTTTGGTATGTTTAGAACAATATTTTTTTTATTATAATTATTTTAAATTTTTTCATATGCAAATGTCATAGTTAAAACCTTTCTTTTTGTTTGTTCTAGCAAGTTTTGAAGATAGACGAAAAATGAACTGGGAAAAAGGTCAGTCTGAACTTGAAAGGAGAAGAAACGAACTACAGGAAAAAGAAAGAAAAGAGCGAGTTGGTTTTATTAATTTTATTCATTGTAAATTTAGGCTGTAATAATTTTTTAATGATTTATTTTTTATTTAAGTATTTATTTAAGTATTTTGTTATAATTTTTTTTTTTATAAATTTTGTAAATACTTCAACTTCTAAAGAAATTTTATAAAATTTTATAAAAGAGTTGAAATGAAACTAAAAAGTTTGAAGGTGCATTTGGCAAAATCCACCTTCAAACAAAAAAACAATAATTTTGAGGGTTGGCATAGCAAACACAAAAATGATTGTATTGAGGGTTAGCATAGCAAACACACAAAAAATAGTAAGGACGCTCTAAAAACTAAAATGACAATCAAAACAGGTAAACTACTAGTGAAAACTAGTAAAATAATAAACAAAAATAAGTGATAGATAACTTATTATTATTGTTGACTTGTCTCTTAAAGATAACTTATTATTTTCAATAAGTAAATATAACAACTAAAAGTTGACAGGCCTGGAAACTAGTTGACTAACATTTAGGAATTTTTAGGTTTTTTCAAAAAATGAGACATAAAAATAAGTTTTACTTTTTATTGTTATTATTCAACACTATGGTTACCATTATTTAACTAATAATAAAATAATTTTCTGTTATTGCTGGTACGTTATTGTACCTTATTGTTTGTTATTGCTGGTATCTTATTTTATCTTATTATTGGTTATTGCTGGTACCTTATTATACCTTATTGTTTGTTATTGCTGGTACCTTATTGTTTGTTATTGCTGGTACCTTATTGTAGCTAATTATATTTTATTGCTGGTACCTTATTTTACCTATTTTACCTTTGAAAATAGTTAAAACTTTTCTGTGCAAAAGTTACTTAAAAGTAAAGCTATTTTTTTTTATTTTTTTTTTTAATTTTTTAGGAGGAAAGAGAAAGAAAGGAAAGAGAATTTGAGGAACAGAAGATTAAAAAAAGGTTATATTCAAACAAAAAATTGAAAAATTTTATTTTAATTTTAATTTTTAAAATTGATTTTTTTTCTTAGGGAAGAAGCTGAACGTAAAAGATTAGAGGCACTTGAAAATGAACGTATTCAGAAAGAGAAGTTAGAAAAAGAACAGGAGGCATTGCGAAAGCAAATGATTGAGCAGCGTCAGGTGTTTTTTGAGTTTTTAAACATTCTAAAATTTGTTTAAAAAGTTTTTTCTTAAGTCGCAAAGATTGCCTAAAAGTTTGAAAATATTTAAATATTTAAAGTCTTTAATATTTTTTTAAATAAATTTATCGATTTATTATCAATAATTTTCAGGCTGCTCAAATTGAAGCTGAACGTCAGAGACAAAGAGAATGGGAAAATCGCAAAATGGAGGAAATGCTCAATCAAAAAGAGCATGAGGAAAACATTGTTAAAGAACTGAAAACTCGATTGCAACGCTTAAAAGATGATCTTACAACGCAGGTTTTTGTTTGTTTATTAAGATTTAATGTGGTTGCACTTAAAGGTTATCAACATACATACATACATATGTGGTTGGCTCAGCATACATACATACATATGTGGTTGGCTCAGCATGCATACATACATATGGGTAATTCCATGTAAAAGTGGGACAGTCATTTCTGTCACCCCTCAGATTTTCTTTAAATTTTTACCACTGGTACCTATTAATGATACATGAAAAAATGTAAAGTTTGAGCAACCAAATCCAAACGGTTCAAAAGTTATGACATTTTGAAATTTAGCCTAAAACATCCTTTTTTTAACCAAGTCCGCCATTATGGTTTTTGTTGTTGTGCTTTTTAATAAATAATTTAAGTTCTAGTAAAAGAGTATGACTAAAAATTGATACCTAGCCATTTTTGAGATTACTGAATTCAAAAATGTGGAGATAATTGTGAAATTTAAAATTTTTGATGTTTATTTTTTGATTTTAAAATGGCCAGTCAATTTTTTTGTCCTATTACCATGGGTTGCGCTTTTACTATCTCCTGGAGTTGCCCAAGTCTCATGGATTCAATTTTTTTTTCAAATGAAAGAGGGCATCTTAGGCTATCTTAATAAAAAAGATGGTTTTGGTCTCTTGAAGCATAATAAAACTATGTCATTTTGAAATTTAGGCAAAAAAAATTCCTTTTTTGGACTCTTTGTGTGAGTAATTTAAGTTATAGTGGAGGAATATGACTGAAATTTGATAACTGACCATTTTTGAAGGTGCTGAATCTAAAGATAAAGAGAAAATAACCCAATTCTAATTGTTTAATAATAATTTTAAAATGTTGCCAGTCAAATTATTTATTTCATTAGCATGGGTTATGTTTTACTCATTTTTGGAGCTGATTTTTGGTTTCTGAAAGAAAAAAAAAATTTTTTTTTATAGCTTGCATATGTATATTCAATATCTTTTAAAGTATTTATGATAATATTATTTGCATTACAGTACATTGAAAATATAATTTCTTTATTTATCATTTATAGTAATTTAACCAGCATGTCTAATAATTAAGTATTGATTTAAAATAATTTTGAAAATTTTATGCTGCATTTTCAAATGTGCTTCATACTCCTTTACAAAAAAAAATGTTTTTGTAAAGGAGTAAAATATCTCCTTTGTTGGGAAAAAGGAACTCAACAAGAACAATGAAAAGAAATAAGCAAATGTTACAAAAATTGAAGTTTTTATAATTTTACAAATAATTTGTTTAACTAATGAATTTGGGGCATGGTGATAAGGCTAAATTTGTCTTCTTCTAGCTCCGGTCATGTAATTATTTTTTTATGAGTTACGGCTGTTAATTTTTTATTTTTCTTATTGGCAAAAAGTGTAAATAAAAAAAAAAAGAAAAAAATAAAGGTGAAATACTAATAAACTTTCATTGACAACATAAAAGCTGTTTAAATAGAGTTTCATCTTCTTTTGAGATGTGGTACTGACGCCCAGAAGATGTTGATGGTGTTTTAACAAAAGAAATGATGTTCATTCTTGGCACCCAGCAATTATCATCCCGGTTTGGCCAGTAGTACGACCGACTTGGATAATGTGGATGCATGAACTTTACTAAAAAATCATCATTCTCTTTATCAATTTCAGAAACCATACCAAGCCAGTAAAATTCGTCATATTTGCAAAACAGGTATTGTGATATCATAACATAATCAATCTTAATAGTTTCAAATTTTTGTTTATTAAGAAAGTCAAATGTTAGAGCAAAATCAGCATCATCAGACACCCTTTTCATCTTTATATTTGAAAGAGAAGAAGGTACAAATTGATGAAAACTTCTTGTCCCAGGAACAGTGGTTGCTGTTAAAAGTCTATCAGTAAGTTTGTTTCGTGCAAACTCCATTTCTTCAGCAGTGATGTACATAAACATAATTCCACTGATTGACTTTTGACAGTATTCAAACATTGCTTGAGCGGACAGTATTTGACCTGTGTTTGGACTCTGCAAGCTAGCAGTGGCAACAAGCCTTTTTACAGTGCCACCTATTCCATCGCATGGAGATTTACCATGGCTTGTTGCAAAGAAATTCCAGATGCAACTAAGAGAAAAATTTTTAGAGTGGTGACATAAATTGTAAAAATGTTTGCAGTTCTTATACTGCCCTACACAACCATCAGAAAAATAATGAATTTTTGTAATTGTGGGACAAATATTAGCTTTTATATGATTTATGGTTTTATGCATAACTTCATTAATAAATCCAACATCATGATTCAAATCATCTGAAATTATGCAAAAAGATGATGTTTCCAACTTCATTTTCTTGTAATAGATGACAACTGGATGTAGAGAACACTGACTCTTGCTCCAATGGTAACTCTGTACCTCGTCTTGTACTACAAAAGTGTAATTCTCTGCAAAATCTACCAGGACAATTGCCTCATCAATACTAAGTGTTTCCTTGAGATGCTTGAGATAGCTAGATTGTGATTTTGCAATAAATGAATGACAAGTAATTTTATCAAGCTTTTCACACAGCAGATCTATAAATTCATTTAATGGTAGGTTTATTGTTAATAGTTCAGTTCTATCTGTTGTTGCCCACTGTTTGAAATCCACGGACTGTTCATTTTCATCACTGTCATATTGCTCTTCTGGGTCATCATTTTGTGTAAGATACTGTTGTAAAAAATTTTGGGCAGCTTGTATGCCAGGACAACTATTGCATCGGTGAATCATGCAAACTTTTGATTTTCTGCTGCATACAATCATTTCAATGATTTCATGGTAAGACATTTCTAGGCCTACAGCACTTAGCATCAATTTAACATTTTGATGTATTGCACACACACAAACAGAATGTGTACCTTTTGGACCAGCAAGGATGCACCATTTAGGCCGAAGACTGCAAAATTTGGAGAATCCAATTTTATGCTCAGGGTACTTTATCTTATATGCTGCATAGAGCTCTTTTAAGTTACACAAAATCAATTTTTTTGACATGTGTTTTTTTTTCCAATACTTACATAGTCTTTTTTACCTGGCATTTGCCTTGAATACTCATCATCACAGTAAAAAAGTTTTACAAGTTCTATAACATCTTTGCTGATTCGATGCCGTTCAACCATATCAGGTTATGCTATGATGCCTTTTTGGTCACGTAAAAACTTGGCATTTTGAATTTTGTGCTTCGAAACTGAAAACTCTTTTGCTGCTTTTCTGATAGACCAAGATTTTGGGGTCAATGTCAAAATTTGAAATTGCTGCCTTCTGTTAGAAACTTTAAGTTTTTCTTTCATGCATTCAACAAGGAAGTCTAGATCGCCAGCTTTGGTTTGAATCTCCTTTAAAACTTCAATGTTGTTTGGTGCAGCAAGATCGCATTCAGTGACATCTAGAGCAGTTGCAAGTTTTTTAATGACTGCTTCTTCAACTTGCTTTATCTTTCTCTTTCCAAGTGAAGACTTGTTAGAGGTTTTAGGTAAATTTAAAACTTTTAGAGGAGACACTTCAAGTTCACATAAGGTATTGTTGAGCAATGATCTTGCTGATTCTAGCATAATTTCTTTCTCCATATCATCTTCAATGAATTTTTCCTCTAATTCAATTTCTTCTGGTTGTTCACTTGATGCTAATTTATGTCTGCATTGTGGACAAAGCTTTTCACCTGGTACTACAAATTTGCCTTTACTGCATAGAGATTTTGCTGTATCCAAGTTGATTTCACGAAGACTGCCTGAAAAGAAGAGAAGAACTCTTTTAATTTATAAAATAATGTTACTAAAATCTTTTAAAGTTGAATGTTGTATAGTTAAATATAGATAAAATAGAACTTGGTTGCCAAGAATTTCATTATTGTAATTCTCAACACTTTCACATTGTAAATTTGAGAAATAAAAGGTGTCACTACTAAAAATACCTTTTTTAACTTTGTTATGGATATTAAATGGGTTGCAGCAACGTGTTAGTTTAGTTGCATAACGCTTCAAATAAACATGTTTATGATGGAGGCAAGTTGTTGATTTAACATTGATTATTGATAGCCCAGTCCTCCACATTAATATTTCTCTTTCATAATCAGGAATATCTTCAAAATATTCGATTCCAAGCAACGGTGTATATGTTGTGAGATGACATTCACTTTCTAGATTTATTCCAATAGAGCACTGTTGATTATTTATCATGACTGAGAAACCAAATAAGAATCAATAATTAATTAATCTAAAATTAAAACAATTTTATGCATTATAACTGGCATTTCAAAACAATATTTATACATCATAACTGGCACCAAAAAACTATATTTATACATCATAACTGATGTATAAATAGCAAAACTATATTTCTACATCATATTAACCAACCTCAAAAAACTATTTTTCTAAACCACAACTAAATCAATGAGATTCAGGCAATTCAAGGTTTAGTGAAAGCATTAACCTGTTTATGGCAAGGAAACAAAATACTTGACTTACCATTTTAAAATAAAAAAAGATTATCAAATATTTTGATTTTGGTTATTTTCTTTTCATATTTGAATTCAGCACCTTCAAAAATGGTCGGGTACTAATTTTTACTCATATTTCTTCATTTCAATTACTCACACTTAAAGTATTGTTAAAAAATCTATAATAGAGAATTTAGACCAAATGAGGAATTTTTTTATCTAAACTTCAAAATGACATATCTTTATTATGCTTCAAGAGACCAAAACCATATTTTTTATTGAAATAGCTCAAGATCTCTACTTTCATTTGAACAAAAACTCAAATCCATGAGACTTGGGCAACTCCCACAGATGGTGAAAGCGCAACCCACAGTGATGAAACAGAAAACTCAACCGACCATTTTAAAATCAAAAAATGGCCATTAAAAATTAAAAATTGGGTCGGTTTCTCTATATTTTTGAATTCAGCACCCTCAAAAATAGTCAGGTACCAGTTTTTAGCCATATTCTTCCACTAGAACATAAATTATTCATTAAAAAGTACAACAACAAAATCCATAATGGCAGAT